ACACTCCCATCCACAACAGAAAGGCACAGGTGGAAGGGGTGTTCTCTACAGAGAGCAAACGCTCTCGGGAACACGGCAGGTCTCCTGAAGATTCTTGTTTTGCAGATCCTGTGCCTGGAACTTATGTTGGGGTTCAAGGAATAAGCAGAACAGAGAAGTCCCTGCTCTCCTGGACCTACACTTCAGTTTTGAAGAACTGCTGAAGGAAAGGGAAAATGACCCACTAGGAATAAGGCAAAGGGCTTCCAAGTTCCCCAAAAGTCCCCAGTGAAAGGCTCAGAGAATCCTTGTATGAAGTGAATGGCCACTCCCTCTTTTATCCCTGTTGAGATCTACATGGGGTGTGCTTAAAGTGAAGGCACAGAGTTCATCTGTGAATCCATATAATTAAAAGATTACAATGTAAATCCCTATGTCTGTATATCTGTCTGATAGAAATGTCATGTCACTGAAAATGATTTCTCAGTTTTACTCATGGGCTCAACTATCTGTGTATCTTCTATTTTATGCATGTCATATGACTAAATATATTGTCTAAATTTGTAGTGAACATCTCCAGGTTAGCAGATTTGCGTTAAAAAGGCATGTTTTCCTTTACTCTTCTCATTTCATATATCAGTAAAAAATCACATTTCATCTTATGTTATTCTAGAGATCTCAGATATACAATCAATTTTACTTCTGACCACAAGGGTTTCTAGGATCAATTATATCTGAGGCCCTGGATTTCTGGCTTGCTGACCTGCAATAAAACTTCCAATACCTGTCAATCACATAATAGGTAAATGAATAAAGGATGCCAGAATGATTGCTTGATGACTTAAGAAAGTATCTACACAGAGGAGTCTGCATGTTCTAATTAAGCTGTGCTGATGCAGTAAACCTTGAGTTATAATAGTGGAGGCAGTTTAAGTAAAGGAGGGAGAAAGAGAAAATTACCTGAACATATGTTTAAATAAGATAATCTCACCCAAGAAAATCTGCTTATGCCTGCCTTAAACCAAATCATATTGTTTCTTTCACAACCTGGGTTAGTAAGAACATGATTACCATTTAGGGAAATGGAACTCGTTTCTGTGAAATTGTTCCTTTAACTCAGCTATCATCTCCATCACCATCTTAGCCATCCTTTCCACAAGTACCAAAATTACCTTCAATCAATCTCGATTTGTAAGATTCCAAGAAACAGAACTAAGAAAAATAGGAATGGGTGGCATCATGGGGAGAGCAGACTACCTACTGAGTGACTCAAACCCAGGTCTTGGCACTACTAAAATACTCTTTCCATGACACTGTACCAGCTTTTCTCAACAATAACTTAAACTTTCAGAATTTGCAAAGATTCTCTGTTATTTAAACTTGGCAATAACCTTGGAAAGTGAGAGCAGACATAACCTCTCCAACATACAGGATATTGGATACCTCAGGATAAAATGGTTCACCCAAAGAACTTGGATCTAATGCCTTGTAATAGCTGTAAGACACAACTACTCAAAAACTGATGCTGCGCAACTAAAGCGTATCACTTTTAATCACACCTTTAAATAAGTTCAGTGCATCTATTCAGTCTGAGGTTGCAGGATGACAAATACTAGACATCTGTATGGCCCTTCCCCACCCTCCCCTTTCTACCCCCCATCATAATCCTTTAGCACATTCTTTCCTGCTAGGATATAAATGAGCCTCAGATACTTTCTGAGCATACAGCTTTAGGGAGCCCCTCTCAACTGACTGGTATTATTAGCACACAGACAAAATGTGCATCCCTATTCTGACTCTTCATTTAGGCTCCACATTGAGTAACATTTGTTTCTGACATTTTTTTCCTTTACTTCTGATTTGATATTTGGTTCTCACGTTATTCCACGATTGTATATACTGTCTTCTCCTAGCACAGGGCTCTGCTTAATACTGATCTCTGAGCATCCACTATGCTGATTCCCATACAGTGGGCACTCAAAGTGTTCTGCATGCACATGACACAAATGGATGGCATTCATGAAATAATCAAAAGTTAAAACAACAACACTGCCCTGGTTTCTATTGTGGTTTAGACCAAGAGTCAGTAGACTTTTCCTGCCAAGAGCCAGATAGTAAACATCTCAAGCTCTATGGATTGGGTGGTCTTTGATGTACCTACTCAACTCCACCATCAATGGCGAGCACACGTTGACAATATGTACATGACTGTCTACATCCCAATAAAATGGTATTTAAGGCCACTGAAATCTGAATTTTATAGAATTTTCACACACAACAAAATATCATTCTCTTGTTTTTTTTTCCCCCCCCCAACAATTAAAAAATGTAAAAAGCTCTCTTCGATTGCAGATTATGGAAAACTAGGAGACAGGTCAGATTTGATCCATGGGGATAGTTTACGGACCCCTCACCTAGATCTGTGGTTTGAAAGTGAGAACTGCTGGTGGCCTGCAGGACCCTTTCAGCAAGTCCAACCACCTACGTGGAAGGTCAGTTTTCTTCCCATGCTTCAGTCACAACAACATACCCACAACAGACCAACTGCAGAAGCATATGAGGATCAAGCTTCTTTCTATTAAGCCACAAATTCAAGAGATTCACAAAGAATATAAAACAACGCCACCCTCTCACTTACTTTTTTTTTTATGCTTGGAAAATATAGTTATGCTTCACAATGCTATTTATGTTAACAAATTAAAAGCCCTCAGTTTTGATTTCTCATATGTTAATGTCAATAATTATAAACATATAAACAAAAACATGGGGGGGGTGTTCCATAAATATTAAGAATGTCAAGGGACCTTTGAGAACCAGCTTTTAAACTGAAGCTTAACTTATTCCTGCTGGCAGAGTGCTTTGAAGCCACCCCAAGGACTTCCTCGGGTCTACTCACTAGACAGGCCAGCCTATGTCTCTTTCGTTCTTGACTCTCCCCTGCACCTCCCCCCTCCCACCTCCCGCAGAGTTTCCTGGCATGTCTTAAAATCAGATCCTGATTTGTTAAATTTAATTCCCTGCAATTTATGCTCTTGAAAATAAATTTGGTGAAAAGCCAGCGGTAACTTTCCTAAAACAACCCTCTGGATCTTTGCAGACGAGGAAGCACTTCAGCCTTTACTTTGCTGACACTAGCAAGTTGATGCGGGCCTCTCTCCCTGGCCTGTATTTTTCAGTTTTAAAGTAAAAAATGACGAGTGCAATTCCTCCCCTTCAGAGCATAGTTCAAACCAGAGTCACTGGCTTCTGTATAAATCGCAGTTCCTTTGATTTGGCGCCACAAAAACTTGAGGGAGTCCAAGGCTTATCAGCATCCTCAGAGCAGCTTTAAATCTAAAGTAATAAAATCTACTAGACAGGGTTCAAGTTTAACTGACAGCACTAATAATAAATGCACTAAAAACTACATTTTGCAAGTAAGATGTCTGTATCTTACAGAGCATTTGAAGAGTATATTCATAATTTGTTCTCTTATTTGAGATTTTAAAACTTTTTTAAAAACTATTTTTAAGAGAAATTAAAGGGAACATTGTCTCAATTCCAGTGTTACCATATATAGGGAAATCTTATATAAGGAAGCATTTCTTTCAATATAAATTTACTTTGTTGTAATGTTTAACTATCTATCCAAATGATGTGTACTGCTGGTCTGGGGAAAAGTCAAACCCCTGCATTTTAGAGAAAATTAACAATTACCATGATTCTAACATTTATCCTTTTGGTGTTATATATTCTTAATAAGGAAGAGCTTCCCATGGCTATATGAGTTTAAAGTCTTTATAGCTTTCTCTTATGGAATAAAAATTTTGTAAACATAATGAAGGAGGAACAAAATTATACTTTGGATGTCTATCCTTCAATTTCTATTATAAAATATTTTTTGAAAAAAAGAATAAAGACTAGATGCTAACTTTGCCATAAATTATGATTATCAGCTCCACGTAGTAAAAGTCCATTGGGCTATTTTGACCAACATCGAAAGTGAAATTCACTAGCCTCTTTATAACCATAAAGTCAGCAGCAAATTATTACCTGAGGGTACAGTGCAAGTTATAATAAAAAGCTTTTGATAGTTGATGTTCAATGAAGACCAAAAAATAAACTTAAACGTGATGAAAATGCTTACTGTTAAGTCCACAGTACAAGCAAATGTCTTACCAAGATTGTGAAACATTCCTAATTGTGAAATTTATGTTATTTGTAAAATAGAGAAAAGCAAAGCAGCTTCCTCAGTCATTTTTTGAGACCTCAGCATCAATTTAAAGAAAATGCTTATATTTAAAGGAAAGTCGATTTCAAAATACAACTCCCTACACGAAGTACAAATAAGGACAGGAAGCAAATTTATATCTCATATCATACAAGTCCTGTCCCATGTGTATGCAAATGAAGGTGAAATGAGACCTAAGTTTAAAAAAAGTTACTTGCTCTACTATTCATTCTCTAAGCATCAAACTATGCTCATTAAAAAGCCTGAGTATAGTAACGTGTATTTGAGAGGCAACACATTGAAAAACAAAAGTCACATGGAAATTTGTACTACGACAAAGTCGAAGGGATGAAGAGAATTTTGGTCCATATTCAAGAAGGGGAAAATAGTCTGAGAGGACTTTGCTATTACTACTCCAAAGCAGAAAACCAGGCTCAAAGTATGGTGACTGGAAAGCTTGGCACAGCGGCTTTATGTTTGAGAAATACCGTTGTCATTTGAATCAAAGAGTTTTCAGTTTTATTTTCCCAATTCCCCCTCCCCAGCAGGGAGACAATAAGTATAGCTTTTCCTAGCTGCTAGGGAATTTTCTTAGCACTTTGTGGAAACTGTTGGCTTTCAAAAATGGACAGGCTGATTTGAACCAAAAGTTAGGCAAAATACAGAAATGCAACCACAATAAAAAGCAATTTAGAAAGAGGATCAAGCCAAGCAGATAAGCAAACTTTACAAAACTAGTTTTCTGGGACTGTTCATCAAGTCAGTTCCCCAATTTCAAAATGCCAAAGCAAAGCAAAGCATGCTGACTTACACTGCTTCTTCAGGTCTTTCAGTTGTTGCTTAAATTGTACAAATTTTTCATTATTTTGAAAATCTGCATCAGAATTCTTATTCTGTAAAGCCAAAAATTTCTTCTCCACTAATAATTTTAGATCTGGTATTTTTTCTGGACGTTCTTCTTTTACCTGAGGAAGACAATAACATGATCTTAGTTAAGTGTTAACAATAATATAGTTTTGTAACATTATTTTTTATCAGATTTCATTCAAATAAAATAAAATGAGGCAGAAAACAGAATCCCCCAGCCAAGGGCCAGAGAACCACATGGGGCACATATCAGGACAGACTGCTCCTTCACCCCACATTCATTCTTCGCTTTCCTCAACAGCCCCTTCAGGCTGTCTCCTGACTGCCACCGGGAGAGGTTACACCGGCACAACTCTCTTCCCTCTTCACCAGGACCTGACACAGGGCTCCTTCCTTTTACCCAAGTCCAATTTTAACTGCTTTTCCATTGGAAGTATCTTTCTGGAAATAAATGACTACAGTCCCTAGCAATTGTTGTGCTGCTATTATCTGCCAGAACCACCAGAAGCAGTTCCTTTATCCAGCAGGACCACTTGTGCATGATCATAAACTTGCCTCAAGTCAAATCCATTTTCATGCTCTCTGTCACAGATCAACAGCGGTTCTTCAGTGTCTTAAGAGCTCCTAGATCACCATGCCTGGTCTAACCCCTACTCCAGAGGGGTTATTCCAGCCTTCAGTATCTTCAGGTGAGAGTGATTCCCACTTCAAAAAAAGGTTGCTCCTTTAACTTGAACTTCCACCAACAGGCGCTACAATAAGGAATACGTCTCCCTAATCTGTTCAAGGTTAAACTCTGAATCTATGTTCTCTTCTTCCTTCCAATAAGTGATTATCAAATTTTCAAACCTGCAGAGAAGTAGAAAGAATGGTATTTTGCCATTTAGCTGCCTCCCAAGTGCCATGACGAGCACTTTGCTATGCTTGCTTTATTACCTGTCTGTCCATCCATATGTCCTTCCATTCATCCTCAACTTTGTTTTAAAATTGGCTCTCAATGCCTTGTTTTCCTCTCCATCAAAACAAACATCCCCTCTCTATAGGCTCTTTCCCCACAAAACATTTATTTATTTGGTTCTTCACTACTATATTTAAGAACAAAAATAGATGACTGGATCAAGAAGATGTGGTACATATACACAATGGAATATTACTCAGCAATCAAAAAAAGATAAACTCATGCCATTTTCAGCAACATGGATGGAGCTAGAAGGGATCATGTTCAGTGAGATAACCCAGAAAGAGAAAGAAAAATATCAGATGGTCTCACTTATAGCAGGAATGTAGAGGATCCAAATAAGGGATCAGGAAAAAAACTAATTATAATAAAGTAAAAATCAAAATCAACAGGCAACTATGAAAGCAGAGACATACTGGGGGGGTGGGGAGGGCGCAAAGGGAGTAGGATCAAAACAAGGGTGGGAAGAGCACAAGAGACCATGGTGATAGTTCACGGGTGAATGGGTGGTGGGAATTTTACGGAGACTATAACCAAGATGAAAATGCATACATTGTACAAAAATTAAAAATATATTAAAAAAAAAGAACATATGACCTTTTATCGCCCACCCACTCCTCTATTATTTTCTCTGTAAAGCCCAGTTCCTTGGAAAAAAGTCATCTGCAGCCACTGCTTCAAGTTCCTCAACCTTAAACTTGAGCCTCTACACCCCACACCTTCACGCCCCTGCTTTTCCTCAAGCCATCACTATTGGGCCCTTGAAGCCCTGACCTTTTGCTGATGTGCCAGCCCGTTACTAAGTAAAATTCACCAAACTACTCCCTTCTGCCTGAAGCACCATGAGTCAGATTCTACCACAGGCCTAGGAATATTCAAGAGCACCTGAAAGATGTCTGATTTATCACTGTGTTGCCAGTGCCTGACACTTAGCAGGTAGAACTTAATATATGTTCTCAATAAATATCAGTATATGTACTCAATATATTAGCTCCAAATATACTTACCCGATGAAAACACCACAATTATTAGTTATTATTTAACTAGTAATAGTTCAGAAATTTTAAGTTATTAGCATAGAGTATACAGTGCAATTTCTGAGCTGAAAGACAATTTAGAGATCAACGAATCTTGATTACTACCTTTCTCACTTTCATATAGAAATAAATGATATAGAATGAAGTCAAACTATTTATGTGCTGTCATTCAGTTAGAAACAAAGTTAGGACAACAATATCAATACAGAGAAGGCTTGCTTTTGGTCTGTCTGGTCAATGGGCTATATTTCCACTCCCTCTGAGTATCAACACATGTAAAATAAAAAAATTATCCATAATTTATCTACTTTGATGACCTCTGTCATGGAGAAAATAATTATATAATCTTCTGTTGCTTAACTGTTATGAGTTCTGATTTGCTCAATCAAAAGTAAAAAGCATGGAGTCTCCCTGGCGGTGCAGGTGGTTGAGCGCAGCACTGTGAAGCTGTCAGCGGCCTCTGCAGTGTGGGTTCGATACCCGCCAGCCTCGGAGCAACCCACATGGTGAGCAGACCTCTCCCGTCTCACCCGCTGCTCCCCTCAGCAATGTATTTCATCAGTCTGTCTTTTCTGTTCCCCACTGTCTCTGGTAAATCCTCTCACCCTCCCATGTGTCTGGCCTGTACCCCGGCTCTTGTATAAATAAACCCTTAAAAAAAAAAGTAAAAAGCATGAAACCAAAATGCCTGACTTTACATGTATAGTACAGAGTGTAGGAACCATCTTCTAATGATGCTGATGATGTCCAGCCAGGCCTGGATCCACCATCAAAGAGAGTTGTGAAAAACATAGAGGGGCTTTAAAAACAAATCCTATATGTAATTAAAAATAAGTCCTGCAAGGCCACAGAACCAATGAAGCTCAGTTTAGAAAAAAAAAAAAAAAGGCAGAAGGGCAATTTAATAATGCCTATGTCTGAAGAACTATTATAGATGGAGAGCAGGTATCCTCTGCCTTACACTGGATGCAACAAGATGAAACAAGTTCAAAAATGTAGCACCAAGAGTTGAGAGTAGACACAGAAAATAAATTATGACTTCTTAGAAAAGAATTATGGGCTCTCTTTCTGGATTTATAAAATGAGACTCATATCCACCTGAGGTGTTAATGGTAACATAAGAGGCAGACATACAGATGAAACTTCACAAAGGTTCTTTGATCAGTTTGCAATTATCATTTAATCCAGGGTGGTACGAAAAAATCTGATCTAAGCAGATGATCAGTAAATGCAAAAGGTCTCTTCCAGCAAAGTCTCTAACACAGTCAGCATTTTTAATTTCCCTAGTTCGACGACAACCACTGCAGGGGAGTTGCGTCAAAGAGTGGGGTGTGGGCGGGAAGGAAAGGTGGTGAGGATCAGTATTTTGAGGCTGACAGTATGGCCACCTGAAACAGGACTAGGAAAGCCTGAATAGACCAAATTCAGTGATTCAAAGTACTTTCTTCCCCGAGGCAGAACCTAAAGAGAACTGCTATAAAGTATATACATTCCCTACAGCAAATCCCATATCTCTATCAAAAAGAGGGCTTGGAAAACTAACTCATTATTGGGAACTGTTTTTTACTTTCTGACTTATTTCACTGAGCATCATCACCTCAAGATCCATCTACTTTTTTGTCCCAAAAGGCACTATTTCATCTTTTTAATAATCCAGTAGCATTCCATTGTGTATATTTCACAGGGTCTTCATCCAGTCGTCTGTAGGTGAACATTAAGGTTACTGGATGATTTCACTCACTTGTGGATATAAAGAACCAAGAAAATAAATTGGCAAAGCACAACAAAAGTAATTCTTAGACTCTGTGAAAAATATACTAGTTACCAGAGGGGATGTGTCTGGGTTAAAATACCTTGTTCTTGTAAGTCATACTGAAATACAGCTTACCTGAATGATTTCATTTTAATTTAACTTACAGACCCTGTGTCTAAAAGCAGTCACATTCTGAGGTCTAAGGGTTTGGACTTCAACATGTGGATTTTATTTGCACAGATAATAGCAGACTGAAGAGAAGCTGACATGATGGAGGAGAAAGACCAGGACCTTGGGATCAGACAGATCTAGGTCAACCCTGAGTTGTGGTTGTGGATCTTGGGACAGTGTGGGATTTCTCTTACCCACTTCACACCCACTCCAGGGCTGTGAAGACTTTCTCTTTTCCTTTGGACCTTGTATAAAGACATTAACATATTTTGAACTGAGAAGGAGTTAATGGGGAATCATAAATCAAAACACTAAGAGCGCAAGGAACAGATTTCATTTCAGAAAATCATTTAAGTACTGGGCAAAGACTAGAGAGGGAAGAAGACCAGCTGTGAAGGAATAGTCTTTGGCAGGTGTCACAATTTCTACAGCGCTGGACAAGCAAGAATCTGAGAAACCCCCACAAGTACAGGACAACAGGAAGTGGTGAGGCGTGGTGAAGCGGCGGCACAAGCCCCAGGTGAGAGGAAGCTGCTCCACAGCTCCAGACGCCTGGGCCACGTGACATGAGCCCTGGTTTTAAAGCCAAAATCTAAAAACAGTGTACAGTCCAAACAACACAGGGGCTCGAGAGCTGTGAGTCTGAAACCTCAACTTACATAAACTAGATATTTTGGACATAAAAATATAACGACTTTTGTGACCTACAATACCTAGGGGACTAGTGGAATCCCTAGACTTCTACTTTAGAGATGAGATGTGCTTTCAAGCATTCCAGAAAATAATGGAGGAAGATCCTGTGGAGAAGACATAGGAGGGCGAAGGATTCCACTCTGACTAGCTAACCCAAAGTACTTCTGATCCAAGGCTTGAATTAAGATTTAAAATGAGGCTCTACTACTAAACTGAATGACCTTGGAAAATTACTAAATGCATTTAAATTTAGTTTCCTCACCTGACTCTAGAAAACAGTGACAATATTTACCTCACAGTGTTGCCAAGAGGAAAAGACAAAATGAAGCAATGAAGTACTGAGCTATCTGTCACACTGCTACAAGGGACAGCTGCTATTGTTGTTCTTACCTTATATATATGTAAGAGGCAGGACAGACAGCTCAGCAAGACAGAAAACACCACATGGAGGAATCAGTGCATAGATTTTAATAGAAACCATGGAAA